CCTCATCTAAAACAAATACTACAAAAGTTATACCTTGAAAAGTAAAGGTGGCCACATGGAACAATGGACAGAACTCTTCACTTAGCTTCTTCTCAAAGGAAGCAATGTGTAATCTTACCAAATTTCTTCTGTAAAAATTTCAAAGCCTGTTTGTCATGTGGGACTTACACTGCACAAAAATTACATGTGGACGTTTTGCACAAAACAATATTTTCTGCACAGAAAAATCTGCTTTTGGTGAAAATCAACCTCATGTTAATTTTGTGTTAACTGTACCCCAGTGCAACATTTTCTGTGCAGGAAACCACTTTTTCTGCCCAGAAAATAATGTATCCATACAGAAATATTTTCTTCTATACAGAAAAACCACTTTCCTGCACCAAAAAAAAAAAAAAATGCTGTTTTCTGTGAAAAGACAACCTCATGCAAATTTTTCACAGAGTAAGTCCCAGATGGCAAAGATTTCAAACTTCTCATCAGGGTTTCTTGATAAGCCAAAAAAGATTTTTTTATTCTTCCAATGTGTTTTCATCCCAGTATTGAACTGCATAGTTTGAGCTTTATACATGTTGATGTGGAAAAGATCCTGATAATACTAATGAACAAATTTAATAAATAGAGTGCGTGTGAGTGATCATAATCAGATCTAGGCATGCAAGAGAGCTAAATCCCACATGCTAAAACCCATGTAAGAAAGTCAAGAAAGGAACTATAAATTCAACACAAGCAAGATATTCAAAACAGAGGGGATATTAAAGATTAATTTGTTCATTTACAGCAAAGGTTCCCCTATTAATAGAAAACAAGCATGACGAGGAAAAAATTGACATCTAATTTTCTAAAGGAAGGGATGGGGGGAAGAATATATGGAAGAATATTAGGTCGTGTAATCATCCCACTCCAGTATGAAATCATAGACTCCAGGAACATTCTGGCTGCCTCATTTCCTTTCTCCTTTGGTGTATGCTTCAGTGCTGCTCTGTATGTCCCTCTTGAGCAGAATAGAATTTGATTGGATGGTTACAGTTGGAACAGAGCTATAAGCATTTGTACGTAAAGGATTAGCTCCTTAAAAATCTGTACAAGATCTATCTCTAGCTATAAAGCATTTGTATGTAAAGAATTACCTTCAGAACACTTACTAGTCGGCCAGGTAGCTCTTGTTTCTCTCGTTGCTTTATCATTCCTAGTTGTGATTCTTGCTACTGAAGTGACTGCTTTATGCCAGCTGCTGCCAAAGATCTTCTGATGATGTGGAGTTAGACTTCTGAGAGCCAGGCAAATGGGATAAGCAAGGACTTAAAGGCGGTAGTTTAAAGATGCGTCAAGGAGGATTAAGGTCAGCTTTTATATAGGCACTTAGGGAAATTGGCCCAGCATGGGTTCCAAAGGCGAGATGACAAAGTAAAAGGGACACTTCTTTTTATCTCCTTCAATGACCATTCCTCTTTTGTTCCAAACTTTTTCCATGACTGTTTTAATATAGCACCGCAGGAAGACATTTGTGTTGTGCCATGTGAGTGAATAACCATCTTTATACTATTGCATAACTGATGGCAAAAGATTTGTCCTTTAAAAAAGTAGAACTACAATGCATCATAACCATTTTCATCACCATTTACATACTGTTTTAGTCTGGAACTGGGTAGGATACACAGATGACTACTAATGTTAGCTGCTTATTAGTATGAAACACACACAACTTCCTCTCCCAATAAATATGTTTTTGCATGTATTATATTGTATACCATGTATAAACATTTGTATTCTCCTAATGACTGCATGATTACACAAGTGCTTCCTAATACATGTAGTGTTCTACAGATTCTTCCAAATGTATGTATTTTTGAAAGCATTCCTCAGAAAGTCTGCATTAGGGGAAGTACTTAGATGCAACCAAACCAAATAAATCCAGAAGTTGGCAACATGAAACAGCAGCGATCTATAATAAAGGACCTTCTGATTGCTTTGGGAAAACTGATGCTGCTTCCCAGGCTAGCTGTCTCCTGAGCAGAAATATTCCCCTCCTGTTAAACTGTTATATTTTTTTTAATATATACTTCAAGAATTTATAAGCAAATGCCATAATCTCTCTTCAGGAGAAAAGTACAGTTGTAGTGCAAAGAAGTGGAAAACAAGGGAAAATGTATTTTAAAATTCCTCCCAGGCATGAAACACTTAACATTAAATAAAGCTATTCTTCCAGCTGCTTCTGAATTTGTTTGATTTGGTTGTTTCATGGTATCTTGCTTATTTGTTCATTTGGGCTTTTGTCCATGTGTCTATTTAATGAGTCCCAGGAATTGGAAATTGCCCCCTCAACCTACCAAAGCTTGGTTCCTTATCATCACAGTTTTGATCTTAGTTTTAAGCCTTCATCTTGGCTGAAGCTTTGCTACAAATAGGAGAATCTACCACAGTTTATTTGTCTACAGGGTGAGTATCCCTTATCCAAAATGCTTGAGAAACCTTGATGAGAAGAATCCTGGACTGAGGAGAATCTTTGCAGTTGAGTACTCATTACATGCAAAATTTGCATGTGGTTGTTTTGCACTGAAAGAAACATTCTCTGCACATAGAATAATATTTCTATGCCAAAAAAATATTTTTTTTCTGCACAGAAAATGCTGTAATCATGGATTTATTCTGTGCAAAATATGCACATTTGTAAAGAAAACAGCATTTTCTGCACAGGAAATAATATTTATAAATAGGAATATTATTTTCTGAAGAGAAAGTCCTGTGCCATGCACAGAAAATGATGCTGAAGATGCAAAGTTTGTTTAGAATGAGTCCTGAATTGTGAATAGTGTTTGAAAACTGTGTTTGTTTGTTTGTTGCCTAAGGGTACATCTATACAGTAGAAATAATATAGTTTGGCACCACTTTTATGCTGTGGATTTCTAGTATCTGTAGTTTTACAAGGTGTTTAGCCTTTTCTGGCAAAGAGTGTTGGTGCCTCACAGAACTACATATCCCAGGATACTGTAAGATAAAGCCATGCCAGCTAAAGTGGTGTCACACTGCATTATTTCTTTTGCATCAGGAAGAAAATTGTTAAAATTATCTGTTGCTTCCTTTGAAAATGAACTTAGTGAAGAATTACATCCCTAGTAACATGATTAATGTGCAAGTCCAAATGCTGAGATTTATATTGAGGAATTCTGAGGCAGGATGTCAGCCATTTCCTCCTTTTAGTTATTATATTCAGTGACTTACCTAAGCCCCTGTTTATTAAGTGTCATGGCCAAGAGGGCTCTTGAACCACATATCCCATCTCTGCATCCATTATTGTATGTAACCATAGGCATAGTAAATGTGAAGCCACCTGCACTCCTCGTGTTAAGGTTTCTTTGAGAAGATAAGTCTTGAGTAATCTCCTTAGTGCACAGAGCACTAAAAGAAAGCCTATGTGAACTGTCCAGGATCAATGTGAAATCGTAGGCTTTCATGGCCAGCATCCATAGTTTTTGTGGGTTTTTTGGGCTGTGTGGCCATGTTCTAGAAGAGTTTCTTTCTGAAGTTTTGCTAGCATCTGTGGCTGGCATATTCAGAAAAATGGCATGTCCAGGATCAAATAGCAAGTCTGTGACAGAAGTAGTTTATCCCTAAAGTCAATGTCCCAACAGCTGGAGCCCAAAACTTCTAATGATTTGTGTGTGTGTGTGTGTGTGTGTGTGTTTGTGTGATTCAAGCAAAATTCACTCATCAGACACGATGTCCATCATTTTCTATCCTTTCAACACACAACCAAAAATCAGCCCAAACCAAGTTGGATAGTCCCAAGTAGAGTAAATCCAATTAATTCATTTTTTAATAGTCAATCAACACATGGTAAATCACATTGATTCAATGAGACTACTGTAGTTGAGACTAACAATAGGATTCAAGTTGCCATCAGGCAACTTGGACTTCATCCAGATATGGCTTCATCAGAAATCATCTCTTCATGACATGACCATCAGATATGACATCTGTCTCCACCAGTTCTTCTAATATTAAGCCTGGTTTTCCTGTACTTCTAAGTATGGCAACAATCTCCCTGACGTGCATTTTCCTTTGATCAAAATTTATCCCCAAGACTCTCCATATATTATTCTTTTAATCCTCTTGTATTTATTCACATTATTAACTTTAGGGCCTATAGAGCTACCGAAGAGCCAGTTCCTGGAAAGACCAGACTACTAATAAAGAAGAAAGTGGAGGGAATTAATAGAAGTGTTAATAGCAGAGATTAAAGCATCTCATTGAAAGGGCATATTTTTACACAGGAAATAATGTGATGCCCTGCAGATATCCTCATCAGAGGCACAAAACCCATCTTTGTGCTTCTGGGAGATCTATAACAGTTAATAACAACAACACTTTCGTATTAGCTGGATCAAGGCTTTCATTAGACAGTGGTAGAATTTGCTTAAATATCATTGGGGATCAGGTTTTATTATTAGCTGTTTAGCCTAGCTCAGTGGGGACCTTTGGAATAGCATACTGGGTACAAATAATGCTAGCTGTCAGAGCTAGTACAGGGCAGACAAAGTGTTTGCAAAGTGATAGTAATGGAGCAACATGTTCCATAGTAGATGTCAAAATGAACTTCTTAGATGATCAGGCCAGAATAATAGATACCTGAGTCCAATGGAATTTTTAATTTAGATTTTTCTTAGTCTCAGGGCTTGTCTATACCAGAGGAAAACCCCATACTCACCCCATTGTAGTTGTGACCTGGGCACATGACATTTCTTGGGATTCACAGGCAATGTAGGCTTTTCTCCAAAAATCCAGAGAAAAAAGAATGGCTTTCTACCCAACATTAATGTGGAAACTCCTTATTGGTAATGAGCACACGGCTGTGTAGCTAGAAATATTCCTCATTATAAGACACGTGATCCTCATAGAAAATCCTTTCCTTCCAGGTTACTCCAATTTTACCATGGTGAGTGTGGCATTATACGAGTTGCTGCAGGCCAGGAAACTGCTGTAGCTAAGGGGTGAATACTGAAGACAGCATGGTATAGTGGTTTGAGCATAAGATTAGGACTCTGAAGTTCAGGGTTCAATTCCCTGCTCAGCCATGGAAACCCATTGGGTGACCTTGGTTGAGTCACATCCTCTTAGCCCCAGAAAACCCCCATCATAGGTTCATCTTAGAGTCACCAAAAGTCTGAAATGACTTTAAGACCGACAACAACAATAGCAATAGGATTTTCTGCTGGTGTAGACAAGCCCTCAGCTGCCCAAACTAGACATGGATGGGAAACACATTTGTGTAATCCAGTGATTCCCAAACATTGCTCCCCCAGATGTTTTGGACTCCAGCTCCCAGCATTCCTGACTGTTGATCAAGCTAGCTGGGGCTTCTGAAAGTTGGAATCCAAAACTCTTAGAGAACCAAAATTTGGGAATCCCTGGTGTAATCAGTTATTTTTACTAAACTGCACAAGGAAGTATCCCAGTACATCCTTGAACAGAAGGTTTTTGCAGAGAAGCTGCTCAGTTGAAGTTGGATGGCTACCAGGCGCAGCTCCACCTTCTGAACCACATGGTCACTGACTGGATGCAGATGATATTGGGAATAATCATAACCTTTCTTGGCAGTCATGGCTCTGCAAATCTCTCAGGGAAATTTAGCTAATTGTCACCACAACGTGCATTCTGAATTTTTACACTATCATACAGCAACAGTGGTATCTGATAACATAATCACATTTGAAAAGGAAAAATGGGGGGAAATCCATGTATTTCATATGTATGCAGAAACAACATTCAGGCCTCATATGTCCCTTGGAACTCTGATGTTTGCATTATGAAACCATTCTTTTCTATTATGTTCTTTGATCTGAATTTCTTTATGGCTGCTCACAGGTATTATTACACTGTCTCGGTTTCACTGAGCCTATTTTCATTTTCAACTTAGGTATTCATTCACAACACCTTTCTATTCTGAATCACATTAATTGTAGCATGTTAAAGAAAATCATGTGAAAATTTGCATTTAAACAGGCATTGATATTTACTTTATCTCAAAACATACCTTTCTAAATGTTTTTCCTGCATGTGGCAGGAAGTTGGATTAGATGGCCCTTATGGTTCCTTCTAACTCAATGATTCTATGATTCTGTATATTTTCCCGCTCTCTGAAAATATAATTTTCACTTAAAGTTTACTCCCCAAAGGAGACAAATACACTGGAAAATTTCAGAAATAAAAACACCAGTGGGCAGACCATTTTTATCTGCACATTCTTCCAAGAAGTGGAGATCAAGTTAGTTGTAACTAGAAATAATAACAATCAAATTCTCAAACATTCCTACTTCAGATGCTGGATCTTGGTAGGTTTGCTCAATTGCTCAAAACAACTATAGACCAGTGATTTTTCTATTTTTAAACAGAAAGGTAGGAGGAAAAGAGGGAGGGAGGGAAGAGAGTCACTCACACTGTGCTTTACAAAGGCAAGGGGAACTAGCAGTATTGTCCTACTGAAAGAAGCTGGTCCATCAGCAAATTTTGGAAGTGGGTTTTTTTCTTCCTCTCAATACATTTCTTCATCCAAGTTATGTGATAATTGATTCTGCATTATGTAATTGTAACATTGTGCAACTGAATGTGCAATGAAATGTGAAATGCATGATAGCAATGACCAGATAACATCTGCATTTACAATGCAATATATGTGCAATGCAAAATGGTACCACATGTTCAACTCTGCTCTTGCACCCTTCATCTGAACATTACACCCTGGCCCCAGAAAGTCAACCTCATGTATGACAGAACGTATGCATGTGTAAATCACTAAGGGGATTTCAGCCATTATTATAAATCCTAGCTATTTCCCTCAGGCTGACATCTTTGTGATGAGATTTTTGAGGAGGGGAAAAGATCTCTGCTCAGATGTTTCATATACCTCATGTAACTACTATAAAGACTGACTCACAAAGAATGTGGGAAGATAGTACTCAATTTTGAGAAGGTTAATGGTGCACAGACTACATATACTGTATTGTTGTTGCTTCTCTGGAAGTTTATGCCAAACCAAAAAACGGCCAGAGATTTTACAGATTTATTAACATTTTGGCATTTGTCTCCTTGGTGAGACATTTGGCTTCAAAACCAAGACTAGCACAGTGTAACATAAGGTGCAGTTTGAAAGCCCAGTCAACCCTCCATATCCACATTTTTTTTATCCATGGATTCAACCATCCACAGCTTGAAAACATTTTTAAAGTTCCAAAAAACAAACATTGAATTTACCATTTTATATAAGGGACGCCATTTTACTACACCATTGTATATCATGGGATTTGAGCACTGAAGGATTTTGGCATCCACGGGGGGTCCTGGAACCAAACCCTAGTGAATACCAAGGACCCACTTTATGTTGATTGCATTATATCATACAGAGGTATTGGTGATTATGGTGGTAATTCATGATCATAATAATGACACTAGGTTGCGTCCAGATTTGATTTTTATTTTGGGGGGAGTCTAAACTGGCCAGAACATTCCATGCTGCCACCGGAGTATTCTTGTCCTGAATCTGCCCTAATTCCCTCCATTACCTGAGCACTTCAAAGCAAGACCAGACAGCTGTCTACATATGCATCCCACTGTGCTGACAGCCACTGCCATTGGCATGAGTTGCTCCTTCTGGGGTCAACAACAAGGCAGACAGCATTGATTACATGGCTGGGAACCTCATTGTGGCCTCAGAAGGATTACTTCATGCTGGTGGTGGCAGCAGTGGACAGCACAGTGAGACGTTGTATGAACAGTCACCTGGTGTTACTCTAGATTTTCTTGGAAAAGCATGACCAAAATGTAGTTTTGGGGTTTTTTTTTAAATTAGCTTTAACACAGGGATGGCCTAGATTTTGCTGCAGAAATGCCCTCCCCATATAAAGAGAATCCTCAGTTAAATCAGGCCTTTGACCCTGCATCATGAAATTATGAAATTGGCCAAACCAAGGGTGGGGAAAACCAGTTCATTTGGCTCATGTAAACATGCTCTTACTTATCAATTAAAATCATTGGGACTTAAAACTCCTACTTACCAGTAACTACTCCTAGGACCTTATCCCACGGGGCCAAAAGCAGCAAGAATCCACTAAGAATCAGGCGCTATAGCGCTATAGTTTTCCGGGTGATTACACGACGTCGCTCAGAATCCGCTAAGAATCAGGCGCTATAGCGCTATAGTTTTCCGTGTGATTACACGACGTCGCTCAGAATCCATCAAGAAACCGCTCGGAATGCAGCATCATTCGCATTCTTTTGAATGTCGGTTTCAGCAGGCATTGCAATAGCGCGAGCTTATCCATAGCGCTATTATAGCGCTAGCGCCATATTTATACTAGCGCTATAGTACTGCAATGATGCTCATATCGCTTTCTTGCCACTTTTGAGAGCAGCGTGGGATAAGGTCCCTACTGATTTCATTGGATCAGCTTCAGTTGTGATTGAGTCTGCATCTTACCTATTGTTATTCTTCCACAGTTCTTTGACAGTATGTACAATTAATATTTTAAAAAATCTACAGCTGAAAAATACATATATTAGAACTGACAAAAATGTCATAGAATAGCGGGGAATCATTTGATTTTTTTCTAGATTGCTTCGTTAAGCTGTATAATATGAAACGGAATGCTATCTGTATGTTGATTTTATGATTTCCACTTCTCAAATGAACTTACAAACCTGAATGCAATTTTTTTGTGGGTTTTTTCGGGCTGTGTGGCCATGTTCTAGAAGAGTTTCTTTCTTTTTTTGAGTTTCTTTCTGATGTTTCGCCAGCATCTGTGGCTAGCATCTTCAGAGAAAACTGAATGCAATTTATCTTGTGGCTTTCATATGTCTCCAAATTTTGTAGTTTTTTCCCCATGCAAAAGATGAGTAAAAGTCACTTAAATTAGCATGGAAAAGAACACATGTTAAAGGAAAGCACTTGCAAAAAATACAGTGAAGTCTTGATATCTGCTGGAGTTTGGTTCCAGAACATCCTGTTCTGATTGCTCCGCAGAAGAGTGGAGTATAAATAAATTTTATTACTACCGTAATAGCTCAAGTCCCATTGTATACAGTGTGGTAGTAAAATGGTAACCCTTGCATAAAATGGCAAAATTTGTGTTGTTGAATATTTTGAAGCTTTAGATGACTGAATCTGTGGATGCAGAATCCATAGATACAGAGAGCCAACTGTACATACATTATAAAATATGACACAGAGAAACTGTACATTAATTGTTGTGCACATGAAAATATGCACAGAAATGCATATGAATTTTCCTTTAGCTGTTTTTTTTATTAAAAAAACATACAAAATGATATATAATAAGGAAGAAACAAATTGTGGTTGCAAAATCTGTGGATGCAAAAGAAAGCAAAAACAGACAGATTTATCCAACCCTAGTCAGGACTCCTTGAATAGTGTAACACTGGTATTCAGGACATCTAAGTTGGAGATTACCAAAGGTCCATGCAAAACTCATTCCCTCTCTTTCAAAGCCTACGACACTAGAACCATCTATTATTCAAAGGCAATGAGAAAGTTATCTCTGTATTTTCCTACTGATTAAATCTGTGTCAGGTCTACAGCAACTGAAATGGACTTTTCTGATAACTTCAAATTAAAAATGTAAATGTATTACCAGAATGATTAGGTTGGCAAGACTAGGGATCTTATATAGTCAGCCCTCTGTATCTACCATCCTTGGCTTAAAAATATTAAAAAAGAAATCCAAAAAGCATACTTTGATTTTGCCATTTTATGTAAGGGACACCATTTTACAATGCCATAGTAAATAATGGGACTTGAGCATCCACAGATTTTGGTATCCATAGCGGTTCTTGGGACTGAACCACAGCAGATACCAAGAGCCATTGTATTAATAAGGTCTTACAGCTGGATTTGAATAGATTTCCAGTTCCAGATCATGTTCTTCTCCTTCATATTCTTCCTCGTTGAAAACCCTCTGAAGGATGACCTTCATATCCTTTATACACACATCTCCTCTCTGTCTCCCACTCAGGAAATAAATGACTGGGTTAACGCTGCTCTTCAGACAAGAACTTAAACAGC